CATTGTTAAATGTATAAAAGTGGGAAGTCACAGATTGCATTGTTAAATGTATAAAAGTGGGAAGTCACAGATTACATTGTTAAATGTATAAAAGTGGAAAGTGACAGATTACATTGTTAAATGTATAAAAGTGGAAAGTGACAGATTGCATTGTTAAATGTATAAAAGTGGGAAGTCACAGATTGCATTGTTAAATGTATAAAAGTGGGAAGTCACAGATTGCATTGTTAAATGTATAAAAGTGGGAAGTGACAGATTACATTGTTAAATGTATAAAGTGGGAAGTGACAGATTACATTGTTAAATGTATAAAAGTGGGAAGTGACAGATTACATTGTTAAATGTATAAAAGTGGGAAGTGACAGATTACACTGTTAAATGTATAAAAGTGAGAAGTGACAGATTACATTGTTAAACGTATAAAAGTGGGAAGTCACAGATTACATTGTTAAATGTATAAAGTCGGAATTGACAGAACAATCTGTGACTTCCCACTTTTATACATTTAACAATGTAATCTGTGACTTCTCACTTTTATACATTTAACTGTGACTTCCCACTTTTATACATTTAACAATGGATTACATTGTCAAATATATAAAAGTGGGAAGTCACAGATTACATTGTTAAAGGTAAAAATTGGGAAATAGTGGAACATCACAAATTACATTGTTAAATGTATAAAAGAAAACATGCTAAGAATGGGAACACAAGCAATGACTTGTTCACAGATTAGTACTGAAATGTATGTTTTTTGATATTTCACCAATGCCTAAAGTTTATTCATCTTAGGTTTTATATGTGTTTTTGGAAAGCTCTTATAATGAATAGATGTTGTTTTTAACATTAAGCATATAGCAACTATAGTTTTAGTTCAGTGTCACCACATGCTGATATACTACTTATACCTAACTAGTTCAGTGTCATCACACGCTGATATACTACTTATACCTAACTAGTTCAGTGTCACCACACACTGATATACTACTTATACCTAACTAGTTCAGTGTCACCACACACTGATATACTACTTATACCTAACTAGTTCAGTGTCACCACACACTGATATACTACTTATACCTAACTAGTTCAGTGTCACCACACACTGATATACTACTTATTCCTAACTAGTTCAGTGTCACCACACGCTGATATACTACTTATACCTAACTAGTTCAGTGTCACCACACACTGATATACTACTTATACCTAACTAGTTCAGTGTCACCACACACACTGATATACTACTTATACCTAACTAGTTCAGTGTCACCACACACTGATATACTACTTATACCTAACTAGTTCAGTGTCACCACACACTGATATACTACTTACACCTAACTAGTTCAGTGTCACCACACACTGATATACTACTTATACCTAACTGTACTTGGTATACTAATAATTAAAAACAACTGATTAGTCATCATCGTTTAGCTTTTAAAACTTCTGTATCATAAAGGCTAATATTATTGTTTTAATTAATGCTTTTTCTGTTCTGTGATAGTTTAATTTTATGGAGCTGATTGATATGATTATCAAAATTTTCAGTAAAGAAAAGTCTTAAGAGTGAAGTTGTTACATAACTTAAGAGTAATGGATACCTTTAACATTGATAAACCAAGAGATTTGTTAACTGTATATTTTAAAAGTTTCAAGTGCCACCCAGGACAGTTTGGAAATTTGCCTTCATCAAAGTAAAACATCAAGTAGTGCTTCTTCTTTACTAGCCTCTTGGATGGTTCCTCCTCTGGTTACTTCTTTATCTGTAAGTTACACAAATTCTACTGTCATTTGTGTACAGTAGTATTACCTGATTTCCCAAAAGTTGTTTTTCTGTCCAATGTAACAACATTCATAATCTAACAAATAAATATTACTGCTATCAGCTGTTTCTAATCCCTTGTTTTATATATCTTGCTATAAGAATGAATGCAATTAAAGCAGTTTAAACAAAACATTTGGTCTGTATTATAGGCATGCTTTTCAGTAAACAATTCAAATACAACATTAAAAAAGATTCAAGCAGTTTAATGTACTTTTAACTGTTGAATGCTAATTATGGTTCAGCTTGGAAATTTCCATTAAACTAACAAACGTTTTAGATTTTTCATGCCTTTTTATTAAAGTTGCTTTAAATAAAATGTAGAAATCAATCATATTTCAATGTTATGAACTTAGTATAGTTAAGTTTTCTACAGCCAATAATTATTTATAATTTTGGTTTTCAAATGAATATATGACAATGCAAAAATAGTTATTTTTATTTATTTAAATTATTTATTGAGAAACCATATTAAATATAGTTGAGTGTAGCTACAAATAAGTTACCTTGACTTATTTCTAGATATGAAATTGACCATATTTCGTCTCAGGAAGATTAACTTATTTAATCCCTTCCTTCTTACTTCAGAAAATATCCAACTAGTTGGACAAGTGAAGTGGCTATTTTAATAGACTGGCCAAGTGCAGTTTTTAAATATTTAATCTGGTTAATCAAGTGACATGTTTCAACATTACTTTTACAAGCTGATTGGCAAAATAAATTTTTCAACAGTATTTAATCTGTTTGGTCAAATGAAGTGTTTCAACAGTACTTTAAATTCATTGGACAACTTTTTCAACTGTACTTAAACTGATTGGTTACATGAAATATTTCAACAGTGCTTAGGTCCAACATGGCCTGATGGTTAATGTGTTCAAATCTCAATCTGCAGGTAAGGGGTTTGACTCCCATTACTGAAAATACTCACTCTTTCAGCCATGGGAGTGTTATAATTCAATGCCTAATCCCACTGTTCAGTTAGAGTTGCTCAAGAGCTGGTACTGGGTGGTGTTGACTAACTGCTTTCCCTTTAGTCTGTCACTTCTAAATTTGAGATGGCTAATGCTGATATATCTTGAATAGATTTGTGTGAACTAACACGACAGGAGCTGACCAGGGACTATCTGATTTCTCGACTATCCCTTCCTTAGTTAGGCCATCCATGACTTTCTCCATCTCTTGTTGCTTTGCTGGAGCTGTTCTCCTCAGAGGGATCTTTATTGGACGGTGATTGCCTGTGTTTATTCTGTGTTCTACAAGGTCTGTGCAGCCGAGGTCATGATCTCCTTTTGAAAAGACGTCTGCATAATTTGCCAAAAGTTCCCTAACCTGAAGAGCCTGTGATGATGTCAAATGGACTATGCTCTTCTTATATAGATCAGTTAAATGTTTTGGGAGTGGATGTCCTTTCTTTATGGTTGTATTTCTTGCCTTAACATTGACTAGCTCTACCTCCTGGCACACACCCAACAATGCCCCTTCCTTAAGTGTCTGTTCACATTTAGAAAAATTAGCCACTGTTATGGATACTACTTGATAACCTCCCACAGTGACCTTCCAATCTTCACATCCGCTGACCTGGATGGGTCTTCTACTGCTTCCACAAGCATCGGGCTTCCTTGGGGATGTACTTTTATTCTACCCCATATTATCTTCTCTGACATAGGGGGGGTATTGTAGTTGACTTAAGTGCTGTGACATGCAAATCAACAGATGCAGCAACATTTACCGGTATTTGGCATTTGTTGTTCCCAAATGTCATTTTATTGAAGTTAACTACCCACTTTCTCGGTAGTAAGTAGTCCAACCCTAATATGCATTGGTCTTCAATGTCAGCCAAGTATATTTTGTGTCT